ATTTTGTCAGAACCCAGCAACTCCAGAATCTGTTTTGTGCCTCTGTTTCTCATCTGTTGGTGTCCTTCCAGTGCCCTTCTTCTGCTCTCTTTATCTCCTCAGAACATCTGCCTGGGCGGCAGGTTGCAGGTGGTGGAGAAGTAATGTCCCCTGGTTCTTTTACACTTTCTTAAGCTTCTGTCTCGTACTGATCCCCGGACGCCCTAAACTGCTGAACCTTATTTTATTTTTTCTCTGCTTTTGGCTGCTACTGCTGTGTCTCGCCAGCCAGAACTGTCCTGCTTTATTCAAGGATAGTAGGGAACTAAGTAAAGTGCGAGTAGAGTTTTTTTTTTTTTTTTTTCATCCTGATACAGATAGAGGAAAAAACAGATTTCAGACTATAATAATAATAATAATAATAATAATAATAATAATAATAATAATAATAATAATAATATAATGATATAATTATGCACTTGTTTTGTATATGTATTTAACTGACCCTTAAATCTATTCATTCCACTAAACTTGTGCCTAATCGAGACCAATAATTCTAGCACAGCCTTATTGTGAAAATGTACCCCCGTATTCATTCTGCGAACCATGTAGCTAGAGCTTCTGCTGCATTGGGCAGCTTGATGCTGTCAATGGCTTCTGTTTCTTTTTGTGCTACCAGCTGACAATTTACCTCCATGTGGATGGCTTTTCACTGTTACCAGTTTGCCCAGTAGCTTACCACGTACGTTGGCGGACGTATGACACAGAGAGAATATCACCATGACAACAAGGTTCAATTTTAGAAATGAACTTTTCCAGAAAGCAGGTTAAACAAAACCAAAAGGAAAATAAACAAGTAAACCTAAGTAAATAGTGTGAGAACGTGGTAAAATATGAAAACGTGGTAAAAATCAGGCCTCTGCGAGGGCTTTTCTTTTTCTGGGTTGCTTTTGAAAACACTGTCAGTTGGGTTTAGGGAAGGGGGTGATCGGGTCAATTGATGCTTTTGAAAACACTATCATTTGGGTTTAAGGAAGGGGTGGGTTGATCAGTCAGTTAGTGAGTCAGTCAGTCGACAGTGGCCTCTGGTGGATTTACGTGACACAGCAGGCATAAATGGCACTCGTGGGATAAATTTGAGATCTGTAAAGCATATACAGCAGCCTCTGGTGGATTTATGTGAGAACAGCAGGCGCGAATGGCACTTGTGAGATAAATTTGAGATCTGTAAAGCATATACAGTGGCCTCTGGTGGATTTATGTGAGAACAGCAGGTGCGAATGGCACTCGTGAGATAAATTTGAGATCTGGAAAGCGTAGCAGCCTCTGGTTGATTTACATGAGAACAGCAGGTGCGAATGGCACTCGTAAGATAAATTTTAGATCTGTAAAGTGTAGCGGCCTTTGGTGAATTTACGTGAGAACAGCAGGCGTGAATGGCACTTGTAAAATAAATTTGAGACCTGTAAAGCGTAGCAGCCTCTAGTGGATTTACGTGAGAAAAACAGGCACAAACGGCATTTGTGAGATAAATTTGAGATCTGGTGGATTTGCAAAAACAAAAACTGCAAAAAACATACCTCCTGGGATGTATTTTGTGCTGTGTAGAAATGTATACAGGTGTATGTATCAATTATGAGCCTGGGTTGAATAACTCTTAAACATACTCATTTCACTGAAACTACCACTAATATTAACCAACCCTGAAACAGTGCCTTTCAACTAAATATCTCCCTAACATCCCTAACCAACTCATAAACTTACACACCTTGAGTTTTTTCCAAACTTCAAGGAAATCCATACACCAGGGGTGTCCAAACTCGGTCCTGGAGGGCTGCTGTTCTGCACATTTTAGTTCCAACCCCAATTAAACACACCTGAACCAGCTAATCAAGCTCATTCTATGTGTACTAGGAACTTCGAGGCAGGTGTGTTAAAGGAAGATGGAAGATGGCCAGGGCCGAGTTTGGACATCACTGCCCTACACCTATCTATATCAGTGACCCTGACCCTAACCTTAAATCCTAACTATATTTAGCCCATATCATTATACCTGTCATTACCTTCATCAACCTTTAAACCAAATTATTTCACAAAAAAATTACCCTGACATTATCCCACCTTAATAACAAAAATCGGTAAATTTTCAATGTACGTAGTGTACATAGTAACTTCATAGAAGTTAAATGCACTACTACTTATTATTATTACATTCAAATTCAAATATCCAACAATAACAACCCAGGCTCCTTCTGATTGCAAAACCCTATTTACACTTCTGGAGAGAGCAAAATATGTCCTAGGAGATTTTTATGTCCTAGGAGATTTTTTTTGCTGTTTTTGTTTTGGCGAATCCACCAGAGACCGCTGTGTATGCTTTTTCAGATTTCAAATTTCTCTTGCGAGCGCCATCCACGCCTGCTGTTCTTACGTAAATCCATCAGAGCCCACTGCCTTCCCTAAACCCAACCTATAGTGTTTTCAAAAGCACTGATTGACCCACAGACCCCTTTCCCTTAACCCAGGGTTCGGCAACCCAAAATGTTGAAAGAGCCATATTGGACCAAAAAAAAACAAAAACAAATATGTCTGGAGCCGCAAAAAATTCAAAGCCTTATATAAGCCCTATAATGATGGCAACACATGCTGTATGTATTTATATTAGCTATATTAGCCTACTATAAAAATGACTTTGTTAGCTACAAATACATACTGAGCCTTCATGATTAAATGTTCATTTCCCTGCGGTGCATCCTGTAGAGAATGACGCGCCACGTGACTACTCTGTTGTACGATGCCGTCTCAAGTTTAACTTAATTACAGTATATTAATGAATTATGTTTAACGTTCAAGTTTAACTTCATTACAATATTAATGAATTATGTTTAATGTTCAAGTTTAACTTCATTACAATATTAATGAATTATGTTTAATGTTCAAGTTTAACTTCATTACAATATTATTGCATTATGTTTTGCTTTGATGAAATTAAAGAAATGCAATAAAGAAATCAGATTTTTTTTAATGTTTTTTTATTTTTTATTTTGAGGATTCAAAAAAACAACATCAAAATGAACGTGCACAACGTGCCCCTTATCTGGGCAACAAGCAGTGCAATACAACGCAGCCTGCCATTTTCATTTCAAGATCAGCTCGAGTCATTCCTGGGAATGTGCTCAACAAGGAAGGGTCAATCTCCAGGGGTGTGTGTCAAGGAAAGACAGTCTCGTTTTTTCCTTTCGCAATTCGCAAAATCTGCTCCCAAATGCAGTTTGCATATCAACGATCGCACCTTGTAAATAATCACCGTTGAGTGAGTGATCGGGATGGGCTTCTTTGAATTCTCTCAGGGAGGGAAAATGAGAAAGCGTGCCCCGCTGTACATCTTTGGCAAAGACAGCTTGCGCTCCATGGCGCATCACACAGCCGCCGGTTTGTTTACAACAGCTACCTGCCTGGCATCCCGCCCTGCGGATAGAAACGTGTGTCGCAGGCTATGACGCAAATCTTCGTTGACAGAAATGTTGAAATTAAATATTCTACACACTTTTACAGCATTGGAAAACGTTAAGATTGTTTGTCCTCCTATAGAAACCATATTAAAACAAAAAATATATTTACCTCCCTCATGGTTATCCATTTTCAAACATTTTTTTAAAAAGTTCCAGGGAGCCACTAGGGCAGCGCTAAAGAGCCGCATGCGGCTCTAGAGCCGCGGGTTGCCGACCCCTGCCTTAACCCAACCACAGTGTTTTAAAAAACAATCCAGAAAAAGAAAAGCCCCCTCATTTTCACAACATTTTCAGATTTTACCACATTCTCACCCTGTTATTTACTTGTTTATTTTATTTTTATTTTGTTTTACCTGCATTCTGGAACCTTTCTTCATGCTCTGGGTCTTCCAATCTACTGCGTAAACTAGTTACAGCGGGAAAGCTGTCCATAGGCGGTCAGTAAGCGAGAAAATGAATGGCGTCCTACTGCCCATAGTGTTCATTTTAAATTTATATGAAATGCAGCTATATGTTCTTCTGGCAACATAATTCACTCTCTTCAGAAATGTACTTAGGTCTACGTTTTCATAATGAGCCTATGTTGAACAATAAATATGCACATTAAATAATACCATTGTCTTATTTTCCTCTATAAAATGAAAATTCCAACCACAGCATCCCATAAACCGTCATGTGTTTATTGTTGACCTTTTGTAAACACTTTTGGAACTGAATGTCCAACTGTTTTACTTTTGCAACTGGCAGTGTATACATTTAAAAAAAACTAGTATATATGTTCCCACTTGGAAATGACAAATAAATTTAATCTTCATGACGATATTTTCATCTTCTATTTGCATCTCCTATTTTATCTCAAGTTCACTGCCACATTGCCTCCCTGGTGGCTTATTAATAATGACCCTATAAAGGAATCTAAAAGTGCCTGAAGTCGAAGAAAGCCATTTAGCCTCAAGGCAGCGTTTAGCCCTTAAAGCTCAGCTTGTTGCTCATTTTACTTTCATAATTGGCTGTATTTTGAATGAAGCAGGATATGTGTATTTGATCGGATTGTGTGAAGAGGCCATTATGTAGAATGGGAGCCATGTGTTCGGAACATTTTTTTTCATATTAATGGTTCTATTTACAACATTTAATGATCCTTCAAAAATCACTTTAACAAATGTCCAAAAGCCTCTGGCTAAAAGCACAGATAAAACATCTGTAAGACAATCTGTTCCCAAGACTTTTCTGGAGAAGCGAGAACATACAGTAATAACACAGATGTTCCTCTTGAACATTCAGTTTACCAAACATCAGCAGATCCCTGTAAATTGTACATCTTCTGCAGGTTATCCTGTAGTACATGACCCTTTAAATGAATACCCTTAAAATTGATAAAAGAACACGTAATATTTACTGTGAACAGACAGCTACTCCTGCTGTGTTCTTCTCTAACCCCTGTGTGACAAGACCACAAAGATTTTAGATCAATACAACAAGATACTGAGTATGGTGCTGTTTCTGTAGGTGCTGGGGGCTGGTCTCCGCTGGACAGTGATCATTACCAGTGGCTGCAGGTCGACCTGGGAAGCAGAAAACAGGTCACAGCCGTCGCCACACAGGGTCGATATAGCAGTTCTGATTGGACAACACGATACCGGCTGCTCTATAGTGACACAGGAAGAAACTGGAAACCATACCATCAAGATGGCAACATCTGGGTGAGTATTAATATAGTGCATGCAAAAAGTTATGATTAGGATATGAATGTTTGTTCACTTGTACATGGATGTAATGTTCTATGTAGGAGTTTATTCAGCAAATGAGTTTCCATCTTTGTTATTTTTAATTTAGCCCCTTTTCTGCACAAGCAAGGTAAAAACTTTTTTGAAGTTAAATAATATAAATAAATTAGAAATTGGAATTTAAAAATAAACAAATAAATAAAATTTATATATATATATATATATATATATATATATATATATATATATATATATATATATATATATATATATATATATATATATATATATATATTGTGAATTATATTGACAGTGATGGTGTGGATGCATTAGGTTTCTTTTTTATAAACTAAAAAGACCGTGCCACCCAAATAATAGTACCTCAAACTAAATTCTAAACTCAACCTGTCTTTATATTGACCATTGAAACCAAATCATTTTAACTATGGAACTACCAGAATTCTAAATCTACTATTGGCCATAGCAGTCATTTTGACCATTCATATAAGATTTTACTGAACCAAAATTCTGGCATATCATACTTACATTCAAAGCTACCTGCACATTACATTATTTACAATAAGCTTTGAATGTCTTGCCTAATATTTTATAAAGTCATTACTCTGAAAACACGTTACAAAATAAAAGCAACAGAAGCCTCTAGTATGAAAAAAGTTAGGAAAGTGAGTGAGTCCAACTTTGTTTAGATCAGAGTGTCGAGTGGAAAAAGAGAAAAGGGTTTGCATAAAAAGGGGGATTTCCTTGCACAACAGCAACACAAGCACAGATTCAGGGGAGCAAGACAGTGATTCACTGATATCTAACTTTGCCATCTGAACTGTTATAGTGATATTACTGTAAACTTAACTTCATTTATTTTGACTAAGGTACATACCTGCCAACACTCCCTGAGTCTCCCTTGTTTCAGACCCATCTCCCTCCCTTTTCCAGTATTGTTCTATCTCCTGAAAAAGTTCACGTGCACCTTCCCCCCCGCTCTTCAGTTCGCGTGCATGTTGGCAGGTATTCTAAAATATGTCTTCAAAAACTGAAAGAGTACTGTTGGCGATACAGGGCTCAAAATTACACTTTTTACTTGGTAGCACTGGTGCTCTCAACTTTAAAAATGTTTCCGCACCAGCCAACATTTAACAGTTACTACAAGTTTTATATTAATAAATTTATTGCATTTGAATTCAGCACTAATCAAAAAAAAATAAATAATTTAAATCTGCATGCACTCACCGGCCCTGCACGTTCCTGAATTTAACGATGATAACTGTGATGTGTTCTCACAGGTGGTGTCTGATATTGCACAGATGATATTGACACATGACTTATTATTTGCATACGTCATCTTAATATCAGTAACTCAAGTGGAAACACACTTCCACCCTTCAGATGACAAGTGGCTACAGGACAGTTTTTACTGTATCAGACTTGAAAAGCTGAGATGCTCACTATCTGGCTCGCTTGATTTCTTTTAAAAGACATGGAATTCCTTTCTTGATAACATCAAATGTCTGCTCATTACACCTGGTGCAGGTATTTAAAATTTTATTAGAAGGTTGTTGTTTTGTTTCTTTCATTATTATTATTTTAATTATTATTATTTTCCCCCATCTGTATCCAGTTATTCTGATGTCATGTTCTTATATATTTAATTTTCTTAATTTGGTATTTATGTATTTATTTATTTATTGTTGTTTTGTTGAGAAATGAATAAGAGGTTAGGCGATGGGATTAATAATGGACAATACATTACTGTTTACCTCTCAATATTTAATTTGTATTGTCATACAAAAGACCAATAAAAAATATTTAAATAAATATCCGTAACTTTTTTCATGAGCTGCAATATCAGATTATTATTAGTGAATGCAAGCCCTTTTGTGATGATGTATGTGCTGCAGCTGACTGTCAACATCATGATGATTAAATAAAGGATTAAATAGAACATTGCGTGCTTCAAATGTGTGGTAATTGCTGTTACTTGCAAACTTGCACATCCCTCAGACTTTACTGTGAATGACTTTATTCATTTCATAGCAGACTTTAAAAAGTGTAAATGGTGGGTAAATGTTCACCACATGAGCACTGATCAAATGTGCCATTGTTTGTACATTTAGGTGGTTTCTAAAACAAAATCTGCCAGTGTTGTTTTCATTCTCTCGTATCCAGACCTTTACATTTTATGTGGCTTTAGATCATCTGAAGGAAGGCATTGACTGAGTGATTGACAGCTGTTATTAATCAATCCATTTGTGTTCAGTTATGGAGCAGTGGGCCAATCAGAAGGGCTTAAAGGTGGGGCAGGCATTGAGGGCTTTGTTTACTGCTGCAATTTGACATGACAACTCTTTTAAACTATTTAGTAGTGTGGTGTTTTGGTGTTTTTTGGTGCAAATATTTTGCATTCGCATTGCAGGGAAATGGAAACAACATTTTGATTTCAGCGCACTTTAAAACGAAACACTGATGACCCATGTCACATTTCTTCATCTATCGAATTTAAGTGTGCTTGGTAACAACATTTGAACCATGCTCCTCTGAACGCTGTAACAGCTAAAAAGCAACAAAGCTATCTCATGCATATTCATAAAGTTACATCTAATTCATAACAGAGCACGCTGATTGGTCCAAACAAACTCTTCCTCATGAATAATGCACAGACATGCTGAAAACTCAATGAGAGGATTTTGGACTGGCTGGTGCTGACGGCTAATCTTAATGCTAGAATTTACACAATAATCTCATCTCTGTGATGTTTCTTGAAAACTTATTTTCAAACCGGAAGAACGGATTTGCTAAAAAAAAAAAAAAAATCCTAAAACAACTAATTTTCAATTTTTTAGTAAAATATATGTGTCCTAATAGGGTTTTAAGCAATGTGGGACACATACTGTATATATCCATCTCAAAAATGTGTTAAAGACAACAAAAAAGTGAATGTGTGGCTGAAAGTAGCTGACATTGATGTGGTAAACTTGACTGTTATGACCATTCAAGGTAGAAATACTCACAAGTATTTGGTGTTTAGTAATTTTTTTTTAAATAATACTGTTAAATTAAAATATGCACAGATTTTGGAGAGGTCATTTTAAAGTTAATCAAATACAAAATTAAAAAAATGGTCAACATTACTGCCTCTCCAGTGGTAATCACATGACATTCCTATTTTACACAAAATTGCTGTGTAGATGTAGATGTGGTTTAATTAAGAAATACCATATTTAATGCATGAAAAGTTATGACGTGAGTTTCAAATGGGAATTCAAGATTGGTCCTAGACATATTGGGAAGGGCTAGTGGTTGACGTAGCAGGATGTTAGCATACGTCTTTCACATACTGAGCTCGCCAAGGACGACTAAAGATCAATGAGTCAAGAGGATGCCTTGATTTCTTCCTGGGTGCTTTAATCAACAGTAAGCAATCAAGGAAGCACTTAGATCTAGAAAAAAGACGCTTTCACAGACTGATTTCAGGCTGATGTACCACTGTGCTCAGTACCCACAGCAGATAGGAGGGGAATTATTACTGGACCAACCAGTGTTCCACACTGGGTGGTGGTCCTGATGGGGAAATGTCATTAGTTTTTATGCTGCTTCACCAAATGCTTTCCTTCAATCTATATATATCAGAAATAAACTTAAAGACTTTACTTCAAAATATGTAACGGCATGGTTTGAAGTTTCACTACTATTTGGTTAGAATTTGTTGTAGTGGTTGCATTTTTATAGTAATAAATGTTAAAAATAAACATTTGGTAAAAAAAAAAAATAAATAAATAAAAAAATAAGCTTTATTTTCCTGCATGTACATATAATGTACTTTAAAAGTTTAGGCTTGGGGAAAAAAATCCCTGTGAACACAGTTTAATGACTGTGTGACAGTTAAAAGTCTTTTGAGAAGTTTCAAAAGTGATTCAGGATGAAAGTCTCAAGAGCGACGTTTCCTTGTGGAAGATGTTGGATCCTCTAACTAGATTTTCTACAAGCTCTGATTTGAGGCTTTACTTCACCTTTAGAGTTTTGATTAGTTTTCCCCTGTTCTCTTTGTTTTTAACAAGAAGAAAGAGGCCTTTAAATGGGAAATGTGAGAGGTAAAGCTGAGGTCATTAGCCAAAGTTTCATCCAAAGTTTGCTTTTACTTTAATAAAGTCAATATACATGTAGATGTTAAAATGCTAATTAAAGCTAAAATTTCACAAGTGTTACAACCTTTTCTGTTTAATTTTAAAACAAATATTAATTAGAAGCAAACTTTTTCTTAGCCTAAGCAGACCATTTTAATACTTAAAATATTGCTATTTAAACTCTCTTTCCACTTTGAAAAAAAGGGAGAAACAAATTGCACATTAAATGTTTCGCACTATAGCCAATAGAAGTGCTAATTATAATTAAAATTTCAAAAGGTTGCCACAATCTTTTTTTCTGTTTAACCCAAACTAATTAATTGTTGTTACTTAAAATGTCCTGAAAAAAAAAAAAGAAAACTTCTTTGGAAAAAATTAATAAGACAATTCTTAACAATCATTTTCTTTTTAACCTTTAACTTGTCAATAATTTAAATGCCATAACAATGACAAAATAAAAACAATAATTATTTTGTATAAAGTACTTTACAAAAGCACGTTAAAATCCATAGTAAAAAAAACGAGGATTGATGGATTTATTCTATTAGGAAATTTTGCTGACAGACTTTTTATGATTGTCTGACAGACTGCCAGACTTACTGATGTTGTGGATAATTTTTTATCAAAATAACTGTCTCAAAAGAGGATTTGATGCCAGATTAGACTTTATTGTTCACAACAAAGCTGAGTTGAGTCTTTAGGGGCCTCTCAGATTCCATAAATGTTTGTAACATTTCCCATTTTGACATGTTGAAGTTGAAGCTGACCCTGGAAACTTTGTATTCAGAATGCTGTCTCTGTTTTTAGCATGTTCTTGTATTCTTTCAGCTCTAAAAAAAA